AAATGTAAGGGAGAAGATCATTTCTCCTAAGGACCATGATCATAGTTTTGCATCTATATATCTTCAGTTGTTTCACAATTTTTCTAATCATAGAATAGAATTATTATGGTTGGAAATGACCTTTAAGATCATCAAGTCCAACTGTCCAAAAAGACCTAGCTCTACCAGGTCCACTTCTAAAGCATGTCCCTGAGCACCATAACTAGACGCCTTTTACATCCATCCAAGGATGACGATCCAGCCACTCTCCTGGACAGCCTGTTTCAGTCTTTGATAACCCTTTTAGTGTAGAGGTTTTTCCTAATGTCTAACCTAAACTTCCCCTGGCATAACTTGATGCTATTTCCTCTTGTCCGATCTGTTGTAACTTGTGAGAAGAGACCAACACCCACCTCTACAACCTCCTTTCAGGTAATTGTAGGGAGTGATAAGATCTCCCCTTAGCCTCCTTTTCTTCAGGCTAAACAACTTCAAGTGCCTCAGCCTCTCCTTATAAGACTTATTCTCAAGACCCCTCACCATCTTAGTTGCCCTTCTCTGGACCCTCTCCATGACCTCAGTGTCTTTTTTTTTATACTGCAGTGCCCAAAATTGAACACAATACTCGAGGGGCAGCCTAACCAGTGCTGATTGCAGTGGAAAGTTCAGTATTTTTGTCATGTGTTACCGCAGAGTGATTATAGGGAAAATACACTTGATTTTTGAATGGCACAAAGGTGTTATAGGCAGATGGAAGAAGGCAAGGTACAAAGGAAGAATAGACTGTAATGAGGGCTGGCAAGTAATGGTGCAGAGACAGCAGACATAGCATGAAACTTTGTCAGAAATATAAGCAAGAGCCAAACTAAACAGAATTTTGAGTATGGGTTTTGGACCTTTGCTTTTTTTTTTTGGTACTATGTCTATCCAGTCATGATAAAACCAAAGTCAGCAAAGGCAATGAAACTATAATTCCAGTGGTTTAAAAGGTAGGGGCATGGGTGTATTTTTATGCTAACTAGGTAGATAGTTTGGAGGCTTTTCAGGTATTGTTTTCTTTCCTGCTTTTCCAAAATAGTCTATTATTGCTAAAACCTGACTTGTCAACTTACCAGTGATTAATGAATTACTAAGGACAGTGCTGATGTCTGGAGAGGATGACAGGTTCTGTTTGATATATTTTGTTCATTCCATTTGTTTCCTTCCTTTTTTTCATATTTTTTAAGAGACTATCTCTGTGTATATATTTATTGCAGATCCACGTGAAAGCAAGGACTGACAACTGAAGAACCATAGGGCCTTTTGTTTAGTAGTTCGCTTCAAAACACATTTCCACAGATAACATTTCCAACTTGATTCTTAAGTTATTATGGATGTCTTTGAATAACTTCCCTAATTTAGGCCAGGGAAATAAATGTGCCACAAGTGCAGCAGGTTTCCATTTAATTCCAGCTGTTAACTTCTCACTTTCTAAAATAATACATAATTTCTACATATCTCAAACTTGCTTATATGCAGTATTTGATTAACTGAAAAGAGAAATACATTTCTAGACAAATATAACACACAAATGTTCTCTTTTTAAAAATATATATACTAGTGTATACATAAATGGTTAGGATGCTTTTTTGTGTGTATTTAATGTAGTTAAGGAGATACACCAATTGTATGTGGTTCATTACTTACAGAGAAAATGATAGCAACATAACACGTAGATGTGTATGGTTGCTATTGGCACATGCTGTGTTTTTAACAGTGATTGCTGCACAAGCTCCTGAAAGCTATTTTAGAGTTATTACATTAATTTTTTTCCTATCTGCACAAATAGAAGGTGTCAGCAGTCCTTATGCTACCCATAAATTGACATTCCTAGCCAAGAGAAATGCAGTACCTAGCGATAGAGTGGTAGTGAGCAATTTTATTGTCAATTTTTAAAACCTAACGTCATGACACAACATCCCAAATAGTCCAAAACCCCCAAAAGCGCCTCCAAGCATGTTTCTTTGAAAAGCTGTTTATAATTGTTTTTTGGTTTAGACTTCATACTTCTTTTAAAAGCAAGGAAAAAAAAAACCTACACAGCATTATGCCTATCTGTTTATTCTGTATCTACATTTTCTTCTCAGGATTATAATTGCTAAGTTGTTTTTAAGTCTTTATGAACTGTTGAGGCACTTATTGTCAGTGGGAGAAATTGCAAATGTGTATATAGTATAAGAAACTGATAATTAAATCCCTCACATTGAAGTAATTCTGGAAAGGTTAATTAGAAACTCTAAGAAGACAAGAAGGAGAACATCCCCTCTTCATATTGTTTTGTTTTGGTATTTTTTCCCCACTGAGCTCTTACAACCTCCTTTTCAATTTTTGTTTTTATTTTTTGGTGTATTTCATTATCAAGTAAAAGGCCCCAACAATTTGCTGCCTACTAGGTCTGCATCCCAGCTGTGTTCCACTTCCCTTGGATCCTGGAAGATGTCCTGTTTACATTGCTCAGGAATCTTAAGATTATGTAAGATTTTTGTATCATGTATGTATGATTTCCTTTGGGATATAAATTCCTACACAAATGCATGTTTTTCCATGTCAACTTATTGATTTGGGCTTTGAGTTTTGTTTTGGTTTCGGTTTTTTTTTCATTTGTGTAGGCAATTTACACGGAGTACAATCCTCTTAGTAAAGCTCTTAGGAAAGCTTTAATTCAGAAGATGATTTAGCCTGATGTTTCTAAAGCTGTTATAACATTTCTGGGCTGTGTTCTAAAACTTCTCAGTGTAGTGAAAAGCCCTAATATATTGAATGTGATGAGAAAGCAATATACAAACCTTAGCCCTCCTTTTCTGTTTTGACCCTTGTTTTTCTTGCCATTCGTGAGAGAGGGTAAAAGAAGAAAATATTTTACGTGGAGGTAGGCTGTTGTAAACATATAGTAAACAAAAAATCTAAAAATCCTGTAGTAGGTGTTAGGTGATCTGTTGTGCCTGAGACTGAGTCGCCTAGAAAAGTGATCATGGAAGATGTTGGTATGTAATGGCTGAAGTAGTTTCTCTAAAAAAATAATAGTTTGCTTATGAGAAAAAGGGGGGGGGGGTGGAGAGGAGAGACTTCTCTTCAAATTGATCTGTCTGCAGAGATGTCTTCCTGAGTGTTGTTACTGACTCAGGTGACCTTGCCTTCCCTCAGAAATCTCTTTCCGTTTTGCTTCCCAAACCCCTCTTCTTAGAACCAACTGCGTGTCCACCTCAGCCGCTTTGTGTGTGCCCAAGCACAGCCTTGGCCGCACACACGAGCTTCTCCTGAATTTACTTCTAACTTTAGGCAACTGTTTGAAAATGTAGGTTCACATAATACTGTTCCGAACACACAAAGTCAGTGTTCTCGACTGTCACCCTTAGCATGTTTATTTATCAAAATGCAAAGTAATACACATTTTAGATACTTCACTACTTTCTGCTCTGACTCCGTTACCACTGGGTGGTTTGTTTGGCCTGTTTGCTTCCCTTGTGCAAAACCTGAAAAGTCACATGGCATGACAGCTCCAAAAAAATGACAAGATACTTTCCGTGTCCATGGTAATCCCGTGGTTTTATACTTTTCACACTGTTCCAACACAGCCATAGATACATTGACCCACTTTTTGTTTACCTTCCCAGATGCATTTTCATTCAAATATTTATTCACAGCTCCATAATAAATACAGTTTGATTTGTACCTAATTGTAGTAACTGATTTTCATTATTTATGCAAGTCATTGTCAGAAGTCATTTATGATTCTGACTGTGAAGAAACTTAGAGTGACAACTTCATATGACCACAGCAGTAAAATAATTAACTGGCTCACTTAGAACAAGTCAATGGCCAGGGCATTAACTCTTAATATTTCAGGAATTCTTTACATTTCTGTGTTTATACTTCTGCAATTCTTTTACTTTCTGATTGATAGGATTCTGTTCTTGTATTATAAGCTTTAATTATCTTACCTATTTCTGTGTTAAATGAACAGTTTTGGAGATATTAGGATGCCTGTCAGATTCAAAAATTGGATGTGTGTTCTGATTTGTTTGTAGAGCTTTGAAATAACTGTGGGCTAGGGTGGAAAAGCATTATGGGTATAAGCATGCGGACAAGCTTGCCAAGTGTCTATATATCATAAAATGTCTTAAATCTATGGACATAAAAGGATGAAGACACAGCCATTAAAAAGGCAGTCATTTCTGAGTATCGCATAATTTAGACACTTAAAGTTATTGAAGTGTCATGAGTTTATTGCACTTAATTTATTAAGACAATCACCTGAGATTCACTTGTCTCTTGCTCTTTTCCAAAACAGAGGCTGAAAGTCTGTTTAAAATGCAGACTCTGCTTCAGTAGTAAAGCCTAAAATGTTTCTCAAAATACAGAGACAGGAAAAATTGCAACTTTACTGTAGTCCTTGCAGATAACAGGTGGTGGTGTTCCTGTTTGTGTATATTCGTGTATTAAAGTAGGGCAGAGAGATCCAATAAATATGAAGTGAGTTTGATTCCCATGAAGTTTTTCTATTGGCACATTAGGTGACATCTGTATGGGGAAAATAGCCTGTTGCTCTGTCCTTTAATCAGGACCAAAAAAAAGAGAATCCTGACAAATACTTTGTTAATGCATTCGTACTTTGAAAAATTAAAAAAAAAAAAAAGTCATTTATTTTTATTTTTTTTCATTTGCCAAATTGACTTCTCTTAGTTTGCATGTTCTGTTATGTTTCTTTTCTGCCCAGGAGCACTTTTGATGTGTCTAAGCAGTTGACAACACAGTGCTAAGGTGTAGGATGACTGAAAAGGAGCACGGTGGAGATCTGGAGACAATAGAATCCGCTTGATTGTAATCTGTGTGGAGTTTTGACAAAGCACCTTGTGTGATACCTGAGACAATTATACACATGAAGAGTTTTTACTTTTAGGTTGTGTAAAAAAGAATAAATTTTAAAAAAATAATAATAAAAAAAATTCTCACCTTCTGTTATCTTTTTTTCCCCTAATCAGGACAGAATTTTACCCTAAGGCAGTTAGGAGTTTGTGAACCAGCAACTCGTCGAGGACTGGCATTTTGTGCGGAAATGGGGCTCCCCCACAGAGGTTACTCTATCAGTGCAGGGTCAGATGCTGATACTGAAAATGAAGGAGTGATGTCTCCAGAGCATGCCATGAGACTTTGGGGCAGGGGGGTCAAATCAGGGCGCAGTTCCTGTCTGTCGAGCCGTTCCAACTCAGCCCTCACACTGACTGATACCGAACATGAAAACAAGTCCGACAGTGAAAATGGTAAGTTCTTACGCATATGCCCATATATAAATCACTGTTTTATTTGCTCTTTTGGTTGACACTCAATAATTTTAAATCATTAAAAGAATGACCTTCAATTATTTGCCTTTTTTTCCCCCCCCTTCTCTTCTCAGAAAAGTCAATATTCAGGATCAGTCTTAACTATTGCAAGTTTTGGTTTGTGGCATTTTACCTGTAATTCTGAAAGAGTTTAATCACGGAAAAAATTAGTGCTGTCTTATCTCAGGCCATGTCACCTGTTACCCTTTGGGGAACAGCTAAGTGGTGATAAAGGTGATCCCCAAGGCCAGCTTGCAGTCAAAGGTTTCATTGTACGCTCTTTTTCAAGACATCTTGGACAAGTTGCAGAATCTTAGAATGGATGAATGAACACAAAGAATAGCTTATTAACAGGGCTCATGCGATGGAAAAGAAATTTGATTGTGCTTTAAACTTCCTAGTTGATGAGAGCAATTAGAATTGTGGTGAAGAGGGACATGCGGCCTTTGATGTGCGTATGGGACTGGATTACTGTGGAATTAAAATCTGAAAAAAAAATCTAACCAGCAGTTTTCTAGGTTGTGGAATATGACCATTGTATATTAAGGCTTAGTGTTTAAATGACAGTTGACTGATTTGTTTTTAAAGCTTTTCATATTTTGTTTTGCTTCCGCTTAAGGTTATGAACAGAACCTAATATGGTGTTCAATGCTAAGTGCATGAATCTTTGAAAACGCTTTAACTTCTTTTTATTTGCATAAGATTTTTAGCTTTGCTAGAATTTCTGTATGGCAATTTAAAAAGAATAAAGAAAAATGAGTAAAATGAAAATTAATGGTTGCTATTGCCTGCATCTCTACATGTCATTGAATTAATTTATTAAACGTTGTCTGCTCAGCTGTACAAAAGTCAGAACAATTTTATTTGTCTTCTGGCAATAGTCATAACACGTTGTGGGAAACAGCAGTGTAGATGTGTATGTATCCTTTTTAAAAAAATGCACTTTTAAACTACAAGCAATAATGTTTAGTCCTAACTATTTGTTATTTTAACTTCAGTTTGAGAAGAAGCAAAAGTTGTATTCTGGTATTACTCATACTTGTCTTTCTTCTGGTGGCTGTTTCTAACTGAAGATGCCTGTACAAGACAACTGTCTCGATGGGATCCTCCTTTTTTACATTGGACTTAATGCTGCGTGGTACCTGAGGAGACAGCTCTCAGTGTTTGCAGGTGTCTTGTCTCATGCTTGGAAAACTTATTTTGTGTTGGAGGCAAGTTTTGAGAGAGGACGACAGGAGTACTTGCCTACCTTCTTTTGGCATTGGAATTTCTGCAGGATGATATTTTGGCTACAAAACATTCTAGAATAAATTGTTGAGCAGTCCTGTGATTTACCATTTGAAGGGTATATGCTGAAGCAGATTGTCTTCTGTCTTTTGTAAAATCCTAGGTTAATGATCTGGAAAATACATGTTTGTATATACACACATGCATGCACACAGTTTCCTTAGAGAAAGATGTAGTGTTATGCCTTAACATTACCAAAGATGTGACTGCTTTGAAAGTACAGTAGGTTTGGTATAGTTCTTTATAAACTTTATATTTACAGTTTTTAAAAAAGTAAAATGCCTGATTACAATACGCCAAAACTTCCTCTGTGAGCTTAAAGTTTTAATTCTGTTTTTTCATGTGTGAGAGGACTGTGAATATATTAGAAAATGTTATTCTGCACTATTTAAAATTATAGAAGGAACGTCTGATGTTTGATATAACTTCAAAAAAAAGTTTAGTCACTAAAAAGGATTACAGGTGATTTCTTTATTGATAGGGAGGCCAGCGATCTGGCTTAAGAAGGTACTGGAACTGCTGTGAGGCTGATGAAATTCTGATGGCTTGAGAGTCCCCTAGGGTTATGAAATATAACTGGGACTATGTCATGGGTTGCCATTTTAGTGAAGATGTTACAAAAGCAGTGAAAAGCTTAATCTTCTTTGATATTTTTCTCTAAGTTTTTGTTTCCACTGAACATGGAAGATTGGTCTGGGAAGCAGTTTTTCACACATAGTTGAAAGACAGTATGTTAAATGCTCTTGGTGGAATAGAAAGTATTAATTTAAAGCCAGGGAAGCCATATCGTCCTGACAGGTGCAGGCGCTCTACTCAAAGGACCAAACTGCAAGTGTGAGCTGTGTTAATTTATGACCTGAAGTTAATAGCCGTGCTGGTATACTGTTAGAACCTGACAAATCTGATAAGGCTTTGAAGCCAAAGTTAGAGTTACGAGTCCTCTCTACTGTGTACCCCTTTGCTCTGTGTGTGTGTGTGTTGTGTGTGTGACAGCTTCCTGACTGAATTTTGATGTAACTGTTTTACAGTTAAATGCATTTGTGTGTTTACTTCTAAGGGAGATAAAGAGCAACAGGTTATGATGAGCAAAACACAACACCAGATCTTGCTTTTCTCATTTAAAGGCCTCAGTTTTTAAGCAGTTCAGCCAGTAAAGGAATTCACTATTGGACCTTATTGGAGTTAATGGGGCTATTCACAGTGATGAGAAGTGTGACTTTTCCTATAGGTATATGAACTCAGGATTAACCATTTGTTGAATGTGCTTGGGGTTTTCTTTCTCCTAAGTCAGGCAAGAAGAGAAGCTTAGCATGAAAACGTGATTTTCTGTTCTTCCTTGTAACCATTGTACGTATTTCATCTTCGGAAAAAGTCGTGAATTGCATATCCCTAAGGAAGGCAGAAAAAAAGGTTCTGTTGCATAATTACAATGAAGAAGTGGAAGTAGTTTGAATTATTAACATTGATTTGTCAAGGTCTCAACATTATATTTCTAAAATCTTACAAAGCCAATCTAAATTTGTTAATAATATTGGCAGGATTAGAAGTTTCCTTAAGCAAATAACATTGCATACGATTAAGCTACAAGATTTTAAATATACTAATAACATACCATGAATGCAAACAGACTTTATAATTTTTATTTACTTTTTTAGAAAACATCAGAACTGTCCATCACACCAAGGCTTTATAGATGTATTCTCACATCAGAGTTTTAGTTTACTACTCAGTGAATCATTCTGAAGAGAAATATTTTTCTTTGAGCTCATTCAAGTTCCATGTATGACTCTTGGTATCGTACTCATATTGGTGTCATTCCAGCCTTCCTGAAGGAGGACCTGCATCTGTTAATCTGGGCAACCTACCAGTGTCACATACAGTGTGATCTGTCAGTTGGAGCACACTAAGCACACACATGCTTCTTCAGGCTCCATTCCCAATGCAAGATAATTCCTTGGTGCTGCATCAAGAAATTTGTGTTAGTAATTGTTCTAGGAGCTGTGGGTTTGAAATAGAAGCAGCTCATCTTTTACGTGCTTGCCAGTAACTTTATGTTAACAACTTAACAGTTGTTAAGCTGTTCCAAGATTACCAAAGCTTGTCCTTTCAACTTGATAAATGTTCCATCAGAGTATGAGCTAGAAGTTGTAGTTAGGCTTCACATGGCCCTTTTGCTTAAAGGGTCATTGTATTTTTAAGGTATCACAGAATCCACTCTTTTAAATTATTTTTAAATCCATTAAAATGACATCTCTGACTTCATGAGATGTCAGAAAGCTAACAGGCAAAACATGAAGGTTAATTGAGCAGGTTATTCCTGAAGTCCAGCTCCTTATGGAGTTAGTTATTTATTTTAAAGATACATAACCAGTTTTCTATGCACTTTTTGCACTGGGTCGAAACTCAGGCTATGGCGATGATTGTGACTGACATTTAAGACTTAAGCAACTCTGTTACCTTTTATCCCTTTGGAAGCAGTACTGGCAGTGCTGAAAGAGTTAGGCACCCTGGATAGATGTGTGCTACGTAGTTGACTCCGTTTACAGCCACAAAGACTAGGTGGGCACACAGAAAATAATTCTGATGGCACTAGAATTTGGGGGTTTATCTTCTTATTTTGTTATAGTTTTGCACTGATGAGGGTTTGCTACAAGACAGATCAGGATGTAGCAAAATAAAAAGAAAGGGAGGAAAGAAGTATGATATCATGCCCTCAGGCAGTCATTTCGAATTGGTTAGATAAGTGATTGGAAACTTGGACCCATTTTTCATAGACACAGAGAAGTATATATTGCTGGTAGAGTGTTCATCACTGAGGATTTCTGTAAAGAGAGAACAGCAGTTTATCAGTTGCCTGGGCACCTGCTTGGTTCCTCTCCAACTTCAGTTTCGTAGAATCATAGAATGGCCTAAGCTGGAAGGGACCTTAGAGATCATTTTAATCCAGCCTCCCTGCCGCCAGGGACGCTACCTCTCGACTAGATCAGGCAACACGTGCTGATGATAGAATTCTTGTGAACCTAATGCTCTCTTGTCCTTCCAGAATGGTGAATTTACTGGCATTCAGATCTCTGAAAACCAAGAAATACATTGGTAAGATTCTTGTCAAGACATTTTAAATCTGTTCTCTCTAACCCAGTACATCTATAACATATACTTGAATTCTGCATTCAGTACTTGAACTACTTCATTCAGGAAGTAGTGTTATGCGTTTTCACCTGTTTAACATCCTTCTTTATGCTAAGGCAAAACGTGATTTAGATGAACTCTACTGAATAGGAGCTGCTTGGTACCTGCTAGCCAAATGCTGAGCCTACTGATCACAACCAGCCACGTAGCTGATGAATTAATAGTCATCTTAATACCACTATTTACAGCTTCTTCACTCTTTCACACAATATTCCATCTAGCAATTATCTACACCTCATTGAGCATGCCAATATCTCTTAAATTCTGCTTTGCTGCTAAGAAATTTCATGACCAGGAAATCAGTCTGTTTTATTGTTGGCAGAAGTCAGCTCTGAAATAACATTTAATATCTCGGCAGCCTTTCATATTTTTCTTTGGTTCAGACACGTGGAAGAGAAATCCATACACAAAAATAGTCATCCGTGGTTTTCTGCAGTATTATCACAAGTTTTCTATAGTTATGC